TGGGGCGGTTAGCTGTGCCTGTGAGATAACTGAGGTGGTTAGCTGTGCCTGTGAGATAGCTGGGGCGGTTAGCTGTGCCTGTGAGATAGCTGAGGTGGTTAGCTGTGCCTGTGAGATAGCTGAGGTGGTTAGCTGTGCCTGTGAGATAACTGAGGTGGTTAGCTGTGCCTGTGAGATAACTGAGGTGGTTAGCTGTGCCTGTGAGATAGTTGAGGTGGTTAGCTGTGCCTGTGAGATAGCTGGGGCGGTTAGCTGTCCCCTGGGGAGATAACTGAGGTGGTTAGCTGTGCCTGTGAGATAGCTGGGGCGGTTAGCTGTGCCTGTGAGATAGCTGAGGTGGTTAGCTGTGCCTGTGAGATAGCTGAGGTGGTTAGCTGTGCCTGTGAGATAACTGAGGTGGTTAGCTGTGCCTGTGAGATAGTTGAGGTGGTTAGCTGTGCCTGTGAGATAACTGAGGTGGTTAGCTGTGCCTGTGAGATAGTTGAGGTGGTTAGCTGTGCCTGTGAGATTAGCTGGGGCGGTTAGCTGTGCCTGTGAGAAAAACTGAGGGGTTAGCTGTCCCTGTGAGATATGAGGTGGTTAGCTTTTGCCTGTCAGATAACTGAGGTGGTTGCTGTGCCTGTGAGATAGTTGAGGTGGTTAGCTGTGCCTGTGAGATAACTGAGGTGGTTAGCTGTGCCTGTGAGATAGCTGAGGTGGTTAGCTGTGCCTGTGAGATAGTTGAGGTGGTTAGCTGTGCCTGTGAGATAACTGAGGTGGTTAGCTGTGCCTGTGAGATAGTTGAGGTGGTTAGCTGTGCCTGTGAGATAGCTGGGGCGGTTAGCTGTGCCTGTGAGATAGCTGGGGCGGTTAGCTGTGCCTGTGAGATAACTGAGGTGGTTAGCTGTGCCTGTAAGATAGCTGAGGTGGTTAGCTGTGCCTGTGAGATAACTGAGGTGGTTAGCTGTGCCTGTGAGATAGTTGAGGTGGTTAGCTGTGCCTGTGAGATAGCTGGGACGGTTAGCTGTGCCTGTGAGATAGCTGGGGCGGTTAGCTGTGCTGTGAGATTAACTGAGGTGGTTAGCTGTCCCTTTGTAAGATAGCTGAGGTGGTTAGCTGTGCCTGTGAGATAACTGAGGGGGTTTTTAGCTTTTGCCTGTGAGATAGTTGAGGGGGTTTTAGCTGTGCCTGTGAGATAGCTGGGCGGGGTTAGCTTTTGCCTGTGAGATAGCTGAGGTGGTTAGCTGTGCCTGTGAGATAGCTGGGAGGGTTTAAGCTGTGCCTGTGGAAAATAACTGAGGTGGTTAGCTGGCCTGTGAATAGTTGAGGTGGTTAGCTGTGCCGTGAGATAGCTGGGGCGGTAGCTGTGCCTGTGAGATAACTGGGGCGGTTTAGTTTGTGCCTGTGAGATAGCTGGGGCGGTTAGCTGTGCCTGTGAGATAGCTGGGGCGGTTAGCTGTGCCTGTGAGATAGCTGGGGAGGTTAGCTGTGCCTGTGAGATAGCTGAGGTGGTTAGCTGTGCCTGTGAGTTTAGCTGGGGCGGTTAGCGGGGCCTGTGAGATAACTGGGGCGGTTAGCTTTGGCCTGTGAGATAGCTGGGCGGTTAGCTTTTGCCTGTGAGATAGCTGGGGCGGTTAGCTGTGCCTGTGAGATAGCTGAGGTGGTTAGCTGTGCCTGTGAGATAGCTGAGGCGGTTAGCTGTGCCTGTGAGATAGCTGAGGTGGTTAGCTGTGCCTGTGAGATAATGGGGCGGTTTAGCTGTGCCTGTGAGATGCTGGGGCGGTTAGCTGTGCCTGTGAGATAGCTGGGGGGGTTTTAGCTGTGCCTGGAGATAGCTGAGGTGGTTAGCTGTGCCTGTGAGATAGCTGGGGCGGTTAGCTGTGCCTGTGAGATAGCTGAGGTGGTTAGCTGTGCCTGTGAGATAACTGAGGTGGTTAGCTGTGCCTGTGAGATAACTGAGGTGGTTAGCTGTGCCTGTGAGATAACTGAGGTGGTTAGCTGTGCCTGTGAGATAACTGAGGTGGTTAGCTGTGCCTGTGAGATAACTGAGGTGGTTAGCTGTGCCTGTGAGATAGCTGGGGCGGTTAGCTGTGCCTGTGAGATAGCTGGGGCGGTTAGCTGCGGTCACTGCAGCAAAGGGTCCCCCATTACCTCAAAATTGAACAACATAAAAGACAGATTTCAGATGGCGGACAAAAAACTGGAGGTTCAGAAAATTGAGTTGAGTCTGGCAGAGTCAAGACGATGAAGGTGAGACCTGGAAGAGAACCTGAATGGCATGACCTGCGTGTAAGATTCTGATCGGAAGACCTGAGGACAACTTGTACGGTAATCAGACCACCTCCATACTTTCTCTCAGGAAGGTAGAGCAAGATGACAGGAACTTTTCCGTCCGGTGTAAAGAATGTGATTACAAATACATTGGCCAAACTGGGAAATCCCTGAATGTGCTTTGCTATAAATATAAATGTATCCTTTTAAACTCAGGTCTATGGTTCGATCCCGAGTGGTTGGAAACTTTAAGACGTGTTTCCTTAAGACACCTGTTGTCCCTGTTCACCTATCAGTAAAAGTAGGTTACTCGGTGTTACCATTGTTGAGCTTGCATTCTTGGAGACAAATTAACCTATTCCTGTTCACTCATCGAAAATAGACGGGTTTTAACCCATGTGTGATGTGACTTGCATTCTGACAAATTAACCATTCTGCGAAATGTCTGCATATAAGATCGTTTCTTATATATATTATTGTCATTATTATTATGGTCTGTATACCTGGCAAACAGTACTGGTAGACAATAAAGTATATGATTATTATTATTAATTTTCATATTAATTATTTTATTTATTATTATTCCCATTCTTAATGGCCCAGGTCACAAACGTTTCACACGGAACAATTCACGGCACTGAGGACTAAGCTTGATAATTAGCATAAGTTTTCTGTACCTGCATCGATTGAGCTTGGTGAATGGTGAGTAATATGACAACTGGATATGTATTACGGTAATTTCTTATTCAATGCTTCTACGAAATGTTTCGCCTGGTAAGTAATTCTGCATGTGTAAAGTAGGGACTAATACTAATACTGACAAACAATTTAATAACCAAGACTAAGGAATAAATATGTATATCCTTCAAGGATAACACGACTGACCACCTCAAGAATTGCCTCTCCATTCCTCCCACTGTTCCCACTTTGAAAATTACCACTGTTCTCTCCCAGTGAAGGTGGAAATGGTTATAACTATCCCAGTGAAGGAAGGAATGGTCCTATCTCTCTGAAGGATGAGATAGTTCCAACTATCCCACTGAAGGATGGATTAGTTCCAACTCTCCCACTGAAGGTTGGATTAGTTCCAACTGTTCCACTGAAGACTGGGATAGTTCCAACTCTCCCACTGAAGACTGGGATAGCTCCAACTCTCCCACTGAAGGCTGGGATAGTTCCAACTCTCCCATTGAAGGTTGGGATAGTTCCAACTCTCCCATTGAAGGCCGGGATAGTTCCAACTCTCCCACAGAAGGCTGGGATAGTTCCAACTCTCCCACAGAAGGCTGGGATAGTTCCAACTCTCCCACTGAAGGCTGGGATAGTTCCAACTCTCCCACTGAAGGCTGGATAGTTCCAACTTCCATGAAGGTTGGATTAGTTCCAACTCTCCCACTGAAGGCTGAGATAGTTCCAACTCTCCCACTGAAGGCTGGGATAGTTCCAACTCTCCCACTGAAGGCTGGGATAGTTCCAACTCTCCCACTGAAGGCTGAGATAGTTCCAACTCTCCCACTGAAGGTTGGGATATTTCCAACTCTCCCACTGAAGAATGGGATAGTTCCAACTCTCCCACTGAAGGCTGGAGATAGTTCCAACTCTCCCACTGAAGGTTGGGATATTTCCAACTCTCCCACTGAAGGTTGGATATTTCCAACTCTCCCACTGGAAGGTTATAGTTTCCAACTCTCCCACTGAAGAATTGGATTAGTTCCAACTCTCCCACTGAAGGTTGGATTAGTTCCAACTCTCCCACTGAAGGTTGGATTAGTTCCAACTCTCCCACTGAAGGTTGGATTAGTTCCAACTCTCCCACTGAAGGCTGGGATAGTTCCAACTCTCCCACTGAAGGTTGGATTAGTTCCAACTCTCCCACTGAAGGTGGATTAGTTTCCAACTCTCCCACTGAAGGCTTGGATTAGTTCCAACTCTCCCACTGAAGGTTGGATTAGTTCCAACTCTCCCACTGAAGGTTGGATTAGTTCCAACTCTCCCACTGAAGGATGGATTAGTTCCAACTCTCCCACTGAAGGATGGATTAGTTCCAACTCTCCCACTGAAGGTTTGGATTAGTTCCAACTCTCCCACTGAAGGTGGATTAGTTCCAACTCTCCCACTGAAGGTGGATTAGTTCCAACTCTCCCACTGAAGGTTGGATTAGTTCCAACTCTCCCACTGAAGGTTGGATTAGTTCCAACTCTCCCACTGAAGGTTGGATTAGTTCCAACTCTCCCACTGAAGGTTGGATTAGTTCCAACTCTCCCACTGAAAGGTTGGATTAGTTCCAACTTCCCACTGAAGGTTGGATAGTTCCAACTCTCCCACTGAAGGTTGGATTAGTTCCAAACTCTCCCACTGAAGGTTGGATTAGTTCCAACTTCCCACTGAAGGTTGGATTAGTTCCAACTCTCCCACTGAAGGTTGGATTAGTTCCAACTCTCCCACTGAAGGCTGGATAGTTCCAACTCTCCCACTGAAGGTGGATAGTTCCAACTCTCCCACTGAAGGTTGGATTAGTTCCAACTCTCCCACTGAAGGTTGGATTAGTTCCAACTCTCCCACTGAAGGTTGGATTAGTTCCAACATCTCACCACTGAAGGTTGGATTAGTTCCAACTCTCCCACTGAAGGTTGGATTAGTTCCAACTCTCCCACTGAAGGTTGGATTAGTTCCAACTCTCCCACTGAAGGTTGGATTAGTTCCAACTCTCCCACTGAAGGTTGGATTAGTTCCAACTCTCCCACTGAAGAATGGTACAGACTCCAGAAGAGAAGCTTCAAGCCAGACTTGATGGCTGTGCCAAGACTCGTAATTTCACTTTTCGTGTGTTTCTTGTGTCATTATCAGTAACCAAAAGGAAAATAAATGTCTATGTGAGATTTTTTTAATAGAGAGAGTTTTTATTTACCATAATGTTTGGACCGTAGGTGATTTATTGCCAGTGGTGGATTTTGTGGAGCACCACTATCACCATCACCACTATCACCACCACCACCACTGTCACCACCACCACTGTCACCACCACCCCTATTACCACCACCACTGTCACCACCACCACTATCACCACCACTGTCACCACCACCACTGTCACCACCACCACTGTCACCACCACCACTGTCACCACCACCCCTATTACCACCACCACTGTCACCACCACCACTATCACCACCACCCCTATCACCACCACTGTCACCACCACCACTGTCACCACCACCACTGTCACCACCACCACTTTCACCACCACTACCACCACCACCACTGTCACCACTACCACTATCACCACCACCACTATCACCACCACACCACTATCGCCACCACCAGTATCACCACAACCCTATCACCACCACAAGTATCACCACCACCCCTATCACCACCACAAGTATCACACCACCACCCTATCACCACCACCCCTATCACCACCACTATCACCACCACCACTGTCACCACCACCACTTTCACCACCACTACCACCACCACCACTGTCACCACTACCACTATCACCACCACCACTATCACCACCACCAGTATCACCACAACCCCTATCACCACCCCCAAGTATCACCACCCCCCTATCACCACCACCACTATCACCACCACCACTGTCACCACCACCACTATCACCACCATTATCACCACCACTACTATCGCCATCACCACTATCACCACCACCACTGTCACCACCGCCACTATCACCACCACCACTATCACCACCACCACTGTCACCACCACCATCACCACTATTGTGGCGGCCTCCTACCAAACTAGGGGTTGGATTGTCAACCTGCCGGCCTGCAGTACCACTGGGTACGTCACCATACCCAGTGTGGGGACTGCTGAGCCGGCTTTAGACACAGTATTCACCTAACCACCTTACGGTATACATCTATTGGTCTTATAAGCAGTATTTACCAGACCACCTTACGGTATACATCTACTGGCAGTAGTCAGTTTTATCTGACCACCTTACGGTGTATATCTATTGGTCTTAGGAACAATATTTACCAGGTCGTCTTACGGTATACAGAGGACACACTTCAAACACTCTCCGTGGTAGTATTTCGTCTTTCAAGAATTGTACTTAACTCGGTAAATGGTGAAGCTACAAGTCATGGCTGACGCTATTGTATAGTGTGACAGGGGCCAGGAGCTCGGACTCGACCCCCGCAACCTCAACTAGGTGAGTACTTGAGAGACGATAGTGTCGTGTGACACTGAAGGAAGATAGGATAGTAGTGTGACACTGACGAATAGTGTCATGTGACAGATTGCTGGTCTCTGAGGAGAAAGACGCTGTGGGGATGATACTGAGATGAAGGATAAGATAAGATAAGATTTCGTTCGGATTTTTAACCCCGGAGGGTTAGCCACCCAGGATAACCCAAGAAAGTCAGTGCGTCATCGAGGACTGTCTAACTTATTTCCATTGTGGTCCTTAATCTTGTCCCCCAGGATGCGACCCACACCAGTCGACTAACACCCAGGTACCTATTTGCTGCTAGGTGAACAAGACAACAGGTGTAAGGAAACGTGTCGAAATGTTTCCACCCGCCGGGAATCGAACCCGGGCCCTCCGTGTGTGAAGCGGGAGCTTTAGCCACCAGGCCACCGGGCCATTGTACTGTGTGGTAGGCTGAACTGTCGTGTAACCCAGCACATGATTCGTATATATATGTTACTTGTACGTTACGTATATAAGATGTTACTTATAACTTAGTTTCATGTACCGTGACACAGTAGTGTCAAAGTTGTACACTGTGTGGTAGGGTTATTAAGTTTATTTTAGGATTTATACCTGGAGTTTACCTGGAGAGAGTTCCGGGGTTCAACGCCCCCGCGGCCCGGTCTGTGACCAGGCCTCCTGGTGGATCAGAGCCTGATCAACCAGGCTGTTGCTGCTGGCTGCACGCAAACCAACGTACGAGCCACAGCCCGGCTGATCAGGAACTGACTTTAGGTGCTTGTCCAGTGCCAGCTTGAAGACTGCCAGGGGTCTGTTGATAATCCCCCTTATGTATGCTGGGAGGCAGTTGAACAGTCTCGGGCCCCTGACACTTATTGTATGGTCTCTTAACGTGCTAGTGACACCCCTGCTTTTCATTGGGGGGATGGTGCATCGTCTGCCAAGTCTTTTGCTTTCGTAGTGAGTGATTTTCGTGTGCAAGTTCGGTACTAGTCCCTCTAGGATTTTCCAGGTGTATATAATCATGTATCTCTCCCTCCTGCGTTCCAGGGAATACAGGTTTAGGAACCTCAAGCGCTCCCAGTAATTGAGGTGTTTTATCTCCGTTATGCGCGCCGTGAAAGTTCTCTGTACATTTTCTAGGTCGGCAATTTCACCTGCCTTGAAAGGTGCTGTTAGTGTGCAGCAATATTCCAGCCTAGATAGAACAAGTGATCTGAAGATTGTCATCATGGGCTTGGCCTCCCTAGTTTTGAAGGTTCTCATTATCCATCCTGTCATTTTATTTGTACAAAAGTAATTATAATTTATTGTAATAAAATATACACACACCTCAGCCAGCAGCAACAGCCTGGTTGATCAGGGGTGTCACTAGCACGTTAAGAGACCATACAATAAGTGTCAGGGGCCCGAGACTGTTCAACTGCCTCCCAGCACACATAAGGGGGATTACCAACAAACCCCTGGCAGTCTTCAAGCTGGCACTGGACAAGCACCTAAAGTCAGTTCCTGATCAGCCGGGCTGTGGCTCGTACGTTGGTTTGCGTGCAGCCAGCAGCAACAGCCTGGTTGATCAGGCTCTGATCCACCAGGAGGCCTGGTCACAGACCGGGCCGCGGGGGCGTTGACCCCCGGAACTCTCTCCAGGTAAACTCCAGGTAGGGAAAGGTTCCCTTGATGTTGGTGAGGGCTCTGATTTAGGAATTGGATCTGGCTCTCCAGTTCCCCGAATTAAACCTGGATGCCTTCTACATTCCCCCCCCCCAGGTGCTGTATAATCCTCCGGGTTTAGCGCTTCCCCCTTGATTATAATAATGTGCAACAGTTGTCTTTATTCAGGAAACCTTTCACCAGCCAGTGAAGTCTTCAGTCTAGTGTTAAACCAATGTCTTATTTATCAGTGTCGGTTTTTTAAACCATCTATATAAAACATAAACCATAATACAGAGCCATCTACAAAGTAACTTCTCCTATATGGTCACAGATGAACGGAGGATCGAGCCTCGACCATCCCTTGCTCTGAAATCAATTTCTGGTGTTCTCGACAAGTTCACGTTATCTCGGCTGTGTCAAGGGGCATACAACCTGTATTATACACGTACTATTCAAAACCACCCTCCTGTATGTCATCTGAGCCAGCTGCAAGCACAGGCAGAACCATCTGGCGAGGCCTGGACCAACACTGCTCTCTGATCGTCAGTACTCCCTCACTACCAGTACTCCCTCACTACCAGTACTCCCTCACTACCAGTACTCCCTCACTACCAGTACTCCCTCACTACCAGTACTCCCTCACTACCAGTACTCCCTCACTACCAGTACTCCCTCACTACCAGTACTCCCGCACCACCAGTACTCCCTCACCACCAGTACTCCCTCACCACCAGTACTCCCTCACCAACACCACTGCCTCACCACCACTGCCTCTCAACGGTCGTAAATATCAAGCAAGACCTATTATGAGGTAACGAATGCGTTGTTCACTGCCAACAACCATGCAGGTTGTGGCCCTGGTGGTGGCCCTGGTGGTGTTAGTGGTGGCACAGGTGGTGGCCCTGGTGGTGCTAGTGTCATTTATTAAAAATCCATGTTGGATGTGTTCATTGAACATTCTTAAGGTCCTCTGCACTAAACAGAAGATAGATCAGTTGAACCATGGTAACTCGTCCTCGACCACAATGAACTTGCCAGACAAGTGTGCAAAAGTGGGGTTGAACTCTGGTATAGTCAAGGACCATCTCAAACCACACCACAGGTGGGGATAGAACCCGCGATCAGTCTCAGAACTCCAGACCGTCGCGTTAGCCATCTCCATAATCCTCCAGTAGGCTGTTTACTCTAGAAGAAGGGAATCGCTGGATCATGATGTTCCAAGATATGGACTGGGTACTGGAAGATGTATAAATGTTTTAAAGCTTAAAGAAAGCTAATGCTTCGTTGCAGAATTCTTTTTCAACTTTGGTTAAGACTCGACTAGCAAATGCAGCTGTCAGGTGGAATGGCTTCTTAAAATCAGGAAACTTTAAGACACAGAAGTTAATCTTGTAATGTCTGGAATGCTCTTTCTTGATGGAAACTCAGTGAGAGGAGAATCTTAAGCAAATCAGTTAAAGGAGCTTAAGTAGAAGAAAAAATAGTGATAGCTCTATAGAAACCTACTAAGCACACCTGGAGTATACCTGGAGAGTTTCCATGGTCAACGCCCCGACGGCCCGGTCTGAGACCAGCCTCATGGTGGATCAGGGTCTGAGGGTGTAGGAAAATTCTGTACCGTAGTTACTTGGGTAAGTCGTAACCTCTGTAGAAGTGACTGTCCAAGAAACTTTATCTCTGATCTAAGGAACTAAAATTCAGAGACCTGTATCTTCAGATTAGCTTCTTCAAGCTTACAGGTACCAGATCGAGTCTCTTGAGATGCATTTCCACATCTAACATGACAATTACAACATCGAAGTACACCTGAAGTTCATTACATATGAGGCTTCTAAGAAAATTCATTATCCTTGAAAATGTGATAGGGGAGGAGCGAATCAAAAAGCCATTTTGAGGAAATGGTAAAGTCCTGTGGGGTTGGGAAACACTGATAGTTCTTGGCTGTCCTCAAAGAGGAACTTGCCAAAACTAATGTAACAAGTCTAAGAAAACTTTGATGATAAATTAGACACATGTGCAACTCTTGGGTATCTTTATTGAGGAAACGTTTCGCCACACAGTGGCTTCATCAGTCCATACAAAGGAGGTATCTTGAAGAACAGGAGGAGATGAGTAATCAGTCCCTCAACCTTCAGTCGATGTTGGTCAGTCCATCAATCTTAAATAGAATACGGCATACGTGCGGAGAAGGAGCTTATAAACCGTTGGAAGGAGAGGTGCAGCAGTCATAGGTGGTGTCACATTTGTTCAATGTGGAAGTAGGTCGTGCCCAAGGTCGTGCCCAAGGTCGTGCCCAAGGGTTAGGCAAGCGAAGAATTCCTAAGTATTAAGATCCCAAGAAGTTGCAGTGTCTGACAGGTTTGTAGATGAATGGTTCAGAGAACTGACGTGTTGATAAATTAGACATATGTGCAACTCTTGGGTATCTTTACTGAGGAAACGTTTCGCCACACAGTGGCTTCATCAGTCCATACAAAGGAGAATCTTGAAGAACAGGAGTAGAATGAGGTAATTAGTCCCTCAACCTTCAGTCGATGTGGTCAGTCCATCAATCTTGAATAGAATACGGCATACGTGCTGAGAAGGAGCTTATAAACCGTTGGCAGGAGAGGTGCAGCAGTCATAGGTTTCATCACATTTGTTCAGTGTGGAAGTAGGTCGTATGGACTGATGAAGCCACTGTGTGGCGAAACGTTTCCTCAGTAAAGATACCCAAGAGTTGCACATGTCTAATTTATCAACATGTCAGTTCTCTGAACCATTCATCTACTAAGAAAACTTTATTATCCCCTATATTGCATAAGTTACTGTTGAAACCCCTGAATGGGTTGCAATGTATATATATAATTATTACATTTTCATATAATTTTATATTGCTTATATTTGCGATAATAGCTAAATCGTAAATATATTGCTGTATATTATTATTTGACTTAGTTATGTTGTTAGGTAGGAAGTAACATATGTGCTCAGTTCAAGTCTTGATTGTCTAACTACTGTAATTATCGCTCTTTGCTCGTTATTCTGCCGGCTTCTGTTGCTGAGCAGCAACTGTCCACAGTGTTAAGTTGGTCCACTAACCAACCGTCAGCGTGCCTCGTTGTGCTCCCGGCTTTCTGGTGTTTTCACGGTCGCTCTTACGTGCTAGAACTTTAATTTGTGTCATCAATCCTATACGATACATCCCTCTAGCGCCTGGAACCAATCTTGGGCGGAAAACATTATATACTGAGTCAAAAAAGGAGAATTAGTGTGCATTACCTAGCAGAGTTTACTGCCAGAGGGGAATCATAGGCCTGTTTCCCGTGTGAAAAAAATAATAATAATTGAACGTTGTGTCAGAGGAAAGAAAGTCCTCCCTGAAAGCATTGAGTATACATAGTGTATAGTGTATACTACAGTGGCTCCCTAGTATATTGATGATAAAGGCTAAAGTGTCATTTGAAAACAGGTGAATTTGTAAATGAAGTGATAAGCCTATAGAGGCAGGTGCCAGAAGTCGCCAGAAACTTACCACAGGTCAGCTGTTTTAATAATCTTCCTGGCCTGCTAGTGTACTCGCATATAATCTAGTGATACAGTGAATAGCAGAATACAGTGTTGTAGTAGCAACTAACCAGTATTATAATGGTACTTATGGAGTGGAGTGACTTTCATTAGCTTCATTTTCTTGAAATACGAGACGTTACTGTGAATTTCATATAACCTGTAGTTACCAGCGGTCGCAATATAACACAACGAGAAGCAATTATTACTACACGAAAAAGCGTCCTTCCTCCAAAATTTGCACCAGTCAACTATAGTGATAATATAGCATTTATTGTGGTGGAGACGGAAAAACAAAAATAGAAAAGCCAGATACAGCGATTGATAAACAAAGAGGTCGACTGTACGTCATTGTAGGAGCTGCCAGATATCACCGGCTCTTCAACACGCAAGTTATACTTTTGTATCAGTCAAATCAACATATTACTCGGGTAGATAATTTCCAGTAGATCCTTCATGTGTTAGCTCAAATCACCGACCAGTATGTTTTAAATAAGTGACCCACTGATCAGAGCAGATCGACTGGTCCGAACCCTTGACTGGTCCGAACCCTTGACTGGTCCGAACCCGGGACTGGTTTCAAACAGTTTCGTTGGACAATAAAGCAGACTGTAAACGGATGGGTTTGTAGGCGCCCTTATAAACACAAACATTAAAAATCAGGAACGTGACGGTAAGCTGTCCAATATACAAAAAGAGTTAGAAACAGAAATACAAATAGCTAGAGCTTCATTTAAGGTTATTAATATAATATTCAAGAGGTTGCTAGTAGACTTGCAGTAAATCAACCATTCAAATCATTATGAAGCTGTGTGTAGTCTGTGGTCAGTCAAACAAACGGGCTACCACATGGATAAATTGTCATTTTTGTGGAAATTGGTGTCACGCTCCTTGTGCAGATATCCCAGAACTAGCTACAAGCAGTATTAAAACAGAGAAGTGTTTTTTGGGTATGCCCAAATGAGGAAAATCTGTGGACTAAAATCACAAGGGTATTAAAAGAGGATAACATCAAAGCTGCTTTCATAGAAAACCTGGAAGCTTTCTACAACAGATGGGAACATAAAAAGTCCGGGCTGAATGGTACTGCCCTTGATACTGGCCATGTAGTCACAAACTGTAAGGCTGGAGGTGATGTCCTGGTAGTCAGTAAATGTAGGGCTGAATAGTGCTGTCCTGGGAGACAGTAATGGTGAAGCTGGAGGTGCTGTCCTGGGAGACAGTAATGGTGAAGCTGGAGATACTGTCCTGGAGACAGTAATGGTGAAGCTGGAGGTGCTGTCCTGGGAGACAGAAATGGTGAAGCTGGAGATACTGTCCTGGTAGACAGTAATGGTGAAGCTGGAGATTTGTCCAGGTAGTCGGGAATTATACGCAGGAAGGAATACATATAAATGACCTCATAGAGGACAGGAGCCATAGTAGGGAAACAAGTGTAGTCAAAGATAAGATAAAACCAATATTGCAAACCAGAAATACCGCAGGAAATAGCAAAACAAGAGGACTCCAATAGCAATAGTGAGGATAAATTACCAAAAACAACTGGTGGGAGCTCCATTGTTGGTGCTAAGGAGGATAGGAATAAGACAGGGAAACATGCACCAACAGGGAATACAGTCACAGAAACCCAAGGCAAAACGGAAACCAAGCCTGTGCACATACTATGCACTTGGTATCTGCTGGCATGGGAAATCTGGAAAAACAGATGGGACATGCAACTATGACCACCCTAGAAAATGTCATGCCCATATGACAACAGGAAAATGCAAACTCCCTTCCTGTAGCTTTTTCACCCTGAAATGTGTACCTCTTCAGTACAGGAAAGACTGTGCTATAACTTAAATTGCCAGCATTACCATCTAAAGGGGACAAAAAGATACAAAACATC